TCTCTCTCTCTCTCTCTCTCTCTCTCTCTCTCTCTCTCTCTCTCTCTCTCTCTCTCTCTCTCTCTCTCTCTCTCTCTCTCTCTCTCTCTCTCTCTCTCTCTCTCTCTCTCTCTCTCTCTCTCTCTCTCTCTCTCTCTCTCTCTCTCTCTCTCTCTTTCTTTCTCCCCGTCTCCGTTTTTCCTCCCAACCACCCCGCGCACAAGGCCTATCGATATCACCTTCTCTGTCCTTTGAGAAACACCGTGGCTTCACCGCGCTCTCTCACTCCACAGCAGTGCCGTCCCCTCTTTCGTGTCGAGAAACGTTTGATCGCCTATCTTTGTTACTCGTTCCCACTCCGAACGCTCATTTTCTTCGCTCCTGCTCAAGTTCTCTTTCCCACCTCCCTTCCTTGTTTCCCTCCCCCCCCTATCCATTCGCCATACCATCGCATATTGGTGTACAGACCTCTTTGTCCGTCACGTGAATGCCTCTTCTTCTCTTTCACTCGCTCTCACCTGGGGCCCGCTGCCTCGACCGGGACCCCGTTTCTTTCCTCCCACCTCCTCTCGCCACCTTACTTCTCTAAGCCTTCCCTCCTCGCCATCTTCCACGCGCGATCCTTCCACCTTCGACTCGCCTCGCGCATCCCGCCGTCGTCTCGCTGAGATATTCTCCCTTTTGCCCTCGAGGAACGAGCAATGCGGAGGCTCAGGTATGCAAGATGGCCGCTGCTGCGAGCTGCGGAGCCCCGTGCGACGAGGACGTTGCTTCTCGTTCGCGGGAGCGAGAGAAACGCAGTGAGAACAGCAGGGATGTCGTGTGGACCAGAGAAAGAGAGATAGAGAAAGAGGAAAGCAGGAGGGAAAGGAAAGGAAAAAGAACGAAGGAAGAAGAGAGTGAGAGATGCAGTACCGATGAGAAAAAGGGCGAGGAGGACAGAGAGAACGAGAGATGAATAATGCGCGAGGGAGGAGGGGAAATACCTGGAAGGGCGGGCAGGGGGACACCCCGGACTTAGGGGGTGCAGGCTGCTGCCACGCGGAGAAACGCGAGGACGTCAGAGGGCAGCGGGAGACGGGGGGAGGGTGAGTCGCGGGATCCGGACCCACGACCCTGTAGATGTATATCCCCCGGGCCTATGGTCACTTTTATAACTAATCCGTTACCGCGCGATCGAGCGTTCCGTTCGCGAACCTCTCTCGGTTCTCTTTCCTTCGAACTAATTCGCCGTCTCGAGTTCTCTTCTCTTTCTCTCTCGCTCTTCCTTCCTCTCCCCGTTTCCTTTCTTCTTTTCTGCTACGTGCGCACGTAGCTCGTTCGTAGCTGGACCGTTCGCTGGCTCTCTTTAATCTAGTTTACTGGGTACGATGTTGTATGGATACGTCGGTTGGCGCTTTGATAGGTCGACCGATTTACGCGCACAAAACAGACCAGTCCGTTTCCATTGTCCTTCCTCTTCTTCGCTTCCTCTCATTTGACTTTACGTAGCGAGCGATAGATAGCCCTGGATTGACTCACGTTACATGGAATTAGATAAGAATAAGTACGAGTACTCTTACGAATAAGCAAACGACCGTCGGAGAACGGGGGGAAAGAGATGCGATTCCTTATCGGATGACGGGACAACCAGGAGAAATGGATGAGTTGTCTTTTTCTCGTTCTGAAACGTCGATGAAAATTGGACAAAAGGCTCATTGGTAATAGACGACGATACGCCGAACAATGTGCAATCGCGTCCTTCACGCTATCTTTATAGGGTCCCAAGATAAAATGCATCCGCTCTGTTCTCGAGTTGCATTGAATCCCTAAATGTGCGTCTCGTCGAAAAACTGTATATGCCACATGCATCGACCGATAACTCTTCTTGTATCGTACAATTTGTGAAATCGTATAATGAAAAACATATGCGCAAAGTGAGGCTTGAGAAGAGAACGTATCTATGTTTTAAAGAACTATATATAAGAGATTTATCATACGATAATATAATATAATTATGTGAAATGTTCCATATCTAATGATGTAATTGGAAAAATATTAAATCCATACATAAAAGAATAAAAATGTATAAGAAAATTTTATTATAATTATATTTTGATGCAGAAAATATTATAATTTTGGATAGCGTTTGTGTGTGTTGTTCAAGAAAACAGCATATTGAAATTTGGTTCGAAAACCTGTCTCTCTCGAAAGACGCAGCACAGGATGTTGAATCGCTCATACAGACGCGTGATTAATAGCCTGCGTTCTGCTGCAGTAATGTGCGGCATACGTATGCCATTTGTTGTTCCGCGATATTAGAAAGGTCACGTCACCCGGGGCAAGAGGCGGAGGAATTCCGACATTTATCCGGATATAGAAAAGCAAAGTGACACACCGTGCGCCAAAATCATTAATTACATCAATCCTCGCATATGTAGAGTTTCTCGAATCCTCAAGATCGCGATACGCGGTCCTGATTGACAAAAACTATTATCCATGCACATTCGCGTATTCGCGTATTGGCAAGATCGCGCAAATTCTTGAAATATCTAAAAGTACGAGTATGATAAAATATTCGTACAGATGCATTTGTGAATGATATTTTTTAAATTAACTGCATTATATACACATATGAAACAACATATTATTATATAAACACACATCTATAGGTCCATAAATATAAGAACACATATTTTACAATAAAAAATAATAATGGACTCGATTGATTATCAAATCAAATTTAAAAACGAAAGGAGTTTAAGGAGCCACGCTAGATTTTCTGATGTCAGATCATTGAAACGTCTGTAAGTGTAAACTGTTTATATAATACAAGGTTGTTCGCACGAAAATCTAACGTGGCTCCTTCCCAAACAGCACAAAATATCCTATATATCCTTAGGACATCTTGGGGAGATCTCGATGTCCTCGGAACATCCTTGGGACACCGAAATATCCTCGATGTCCTGAGGATATCCTGAGGATGTTTTGTGCTGTATGGGTTAGTTCCTTTCGTTTTTCAACATATTTTTACAATTTTTAAATAATTATTTGTGCAATATATTGCGTGTTATATCTTATAGCGTTTTCGATTATACAGGATTTGAACGACCCAGGGTTGATCAATCACTATTTTACTATAAATGCAAGTCTTTCATTGGTGGAGAGGTTGCAATGACGTCATTAACCAACCCTGGGTCGTTCAAATCCTGTATAATCGAAAACGCTATTAATAGTTACATCTTAATTAGAATAAAAATAATTAAATAATGTAATATTCAACATAATTCAATAATTAAAATATATTTTAATTTTTTAGGTGCAGTTGTGGTTATGTGCATAGCTAGAGTACAACTGGTCGGTGAAATTATTTTAACATTATACTTGCATGACATAAATTTCACAAAATTGATTTCTAAGTCCATGTATATTTTTGAAGGCAAATACGTTTGTCACGATCAAATTTTAATGAGATAAACAATTACATATTATCTACAAAGTATTAATCGCTACATCAAAGATTCCAAAAAGAACATCTCGAGTTAGTTTCGAACGTATCGAAAATTTCGTGTTTATTAAGATTTGATATATACAAAATAATAATTTGTTTCTTATGTTTTACATATTATACATACTAATGTAAGTTCAACTCGTATGCCGACAGTATAATATTGTTATATATCTAAAAACACTATCACTAAAAATTTTATTATATTTAATATTTTGTCGAGAATTCAAAGGCAAATTCTGGTATACCTTTTGCATAAATGTTATGGGAAATGCTCACGGCATAAGACTTCATAAATCGTCCGGTAACACGTGTAACGTTGCTTCCAAGCAGAAATTTGATCGTTTTCCGCGTAGATACATAAGACACCGAGTATGATCGTTTTTCACAATAAAGCGAAAAAGTCTACGCGAAAGAGAGCGAGGAATCGGCAGAAGTCTTCTAACAGCTTATTTTATGATATGTATACTTTGCAATAAATTTGCAACCAATTGTTTTTCGAAATGTAACCATTTGTGAGTTACAAACATTATTTATAAAAAATAAGGAATTTTTGACAACTGTTTTGTAGGATTGAATATAACTAGATATTAAAATTCAAATTTGTAAATCAATTTCGTAAAATTTGTTTTAATTCATATAATATGTGCATTTTACAGAACGAAAATACAAATATTTACTTCTTTATTGAAATTCATATTTCCTTAAATTTATATTAATTTTTGTATACATTATCACAAGTATAAGTATAAAATATTTGTTTCAAAAAGCTTGCGTGGAATATAATCTATTCATAATAAAATAATACATTTTTTCCATTTCTAAGAGAGCGTTATTACTTTTATATCCGATAATTTGTTCGATTATCTTCTAGAAACTAAGATAAAAAGAAAAATCAACGGAAATGCTCGTATATCATTATAAGAGAAATATCGTGTCGCCACACGTGTTAGATAAAGAGAGAGAAAGAGAGATAAGAAGCTTGGTAAGAGCTTAGTAAAAATCACACTGCGCAGGCGGAAAGAGGAGAGATATCTGTTATCTTACCGCCCTTTCTACTGTTGCGCGTGGGCTTAGCCCTTAGACTTATTCACAATAGAATTGAATGGAATATCACTTTGTTATCAATGCAGACAAATAAATGTTTCTAAGATTATCTGAGTATAAATGGAACTCTAGTTTTTGGCGTATTATACATTTTATTAACAGAATATATATATATATACTTTTTATATGCCTAATACAATACAAAAGTAATGAAAAGAAGTTATTTTAATAAATTAACATATTCCATGTGCCGTCTGAGATATCAAGTAGTATTAGACTTCTCATTCGGATAGTATCTATTTTTATTATCAAGACAAACAATATCAATGATGAAATACTTCATATTTTTAAATGATATATGATTATTATGTACAGTGTACAGAAATGTGTTATTATACCATGTATTGTCATAGATGCAACGTAGATAAAATTACATAAAATTTGCACGGCGTGGAATGTGTTAATATAAGTTGTTAATATAAAAAGTTGTCTACTTCTTGGGTGCGCCATATGCGTCCGGCATTCGTTCTATCGTATATCTGTGCTGTGACACATACATTATTGGTACACCCGGTATCTTTCGTATCCTGCTCTTTAGATCTTTGTCATTAGTTGCAACAATGTAACATTTGTGCTGAAATAATAATACAATATATAATTTATTTCTTCGTCTATGTGGAATTAGACAAAACAAATATAATATAATATATAAATTGCTATTATTAAATTCAAAGCAAAAACAACTGTTAACTTTATGGTCTGCAGTCTATTCAGAGCCATCACATTCTTTCATTTGTTCTTGTATATTGTTTCAGTAGGAACTGTTGCCAGGTTGCCTCATTGTGTCATTGGCGGAGCACACATTAAAATAGATGTGACAACTGTCGGCAGATCGCAAAGTTTTTTTGCACTAAAGGTATAAATAGTCTGTACTCACTTGTGTCACTCTGTTCACAAGACAGTCATCTGCATAAGTTCCCTTATGCATACAGTGTAATCTTTTAAATCTTGGATCCTTGATAATTCTCAATGCTAATTTATACTTCTGTCCAAGCTTCTCCAATTCACCCATCACACAATCTGTTATATATGGTGTACACTTTGCATAGAGGCATTCCATCATGTTTTGTATAATGTCCAATTTATTTTTAATAGAAAAATTAATGAAATTTGTATCAATTAAAAGATGATACGGTGGTCCAAGTTGTGTGTTATATTGAAAAAACAATGCCGAGGACTGCTGTGGTCTGAAAGTATAAAGTTTCATAGCTTTGAAACAGAATGAATATTTTGTGACAAATCATGATTTCGTATATAATATCATGCACAAATATTTCTTCTAAAAATAATATAAACTGTGTTGGATTTTATCTAACATTACTTACGCTTCTGTAATTTTTATTTTAGTCTTATCTTCTTTCGGAGTTTTCTTTGATGGCAATCGTTTCTCCGGCTTTCTATGTAAAAAATTAATTAATTTTATTTTTCCTTTTGCATATTACTTATAAACATATAATAACAATAATAAGTTCAACTAAAAATAATATGCGTCAACTTACATTCGTGAATCGCTTAGACTAATCATCTTTTTCATCTGAGCGAATCTCTGCATTACGACTTTACGCGTTTTCTTATTTTTTCCCTGTAACATATAATTAATTTTTTCAACAATTACTTTAATTTTAGTATACAAGATACATTTAGATCAAAATACCTAACAAAATATAACCTTAACAACACATAAATTTATGGTTAAATAATTTCTAATTTATTGAATAGGACGTATATTTGTGAATCAAAATAATATTTTTACCATTGTAATATTTTTTTAATATTTAATCGTTTCGTAAGATAAATAATAATGAATTCAACAGATAAAAACCAAACACATGGTGATCAACTACTCCTTCTTGCACTTTAGTTAAAAGCAAAGTATAGAAAGTGCAACAAACAAAACAGATTCATTGCTGATAACTTTCTAATCCTAAAATTTATGCATATAGGCTGCGTTCCGAAATTCACTGCCAGTACTGAAAATCTGCAGTTTACGTCACGTATATTGTAGATTTTCAGTACTGGCAGTGAATTTCGGAACGCAACCATAATGTTCCTTCTTTTATTTATAGGTACTTCCAGAATACTTAAAGTTGATTGGCTACTAGATGCGATAATGCATGCTGTGTAAGAAACATAACTATTGACCCTAGACCGATAGCTCACGTGATCTACTGTGCGCATGCGTGTGGAAAGGCTACGGCGCAAAGTGAAGTGGGGAAGATCCATTCCTCTGTCTTCTGTGATCGTTCGAGTGTGTTAGACGTGTTAGGCTCAAGTCAGAGAGTTAGAATCAAGAAAGTTAAATTCGATCATTTCGTATTAGTTCAGTACTTCGGGGTTGTGGTTAAGATGCCGAAGAAGGTGAACAAGATATGGGGCGGTCGCAATGGTCGAGGAAACTTATCTGAAGAGAAGCATTATTTCGGTGAGTTAACTAATTCATTACCATAACGTCGCGTCTCTCATCACGGGATTATATTTGTGCGGCCGTCGCTCATAAACGCATTATTTTAACAGATTTCACGAACTTTTTATCAATACGCTAAATTATTTCCCATGTCCAACCTAATATTTTATATTTCTTTGCCCGATTCCTTTTTTTTGCGTCGCTATGCAACGAAGCCATCGATGCTTACAAGAAAACAAAATGGCTGCCATGCACGGATGACTATATGCGCCTAAATTTTTACGTTTTTTCTGATGTAGCTTACAAATTAATAGAGAAAATTATATGAGCGACGGACTAATTAATGAATAAATTATGCTAAATTTGTTACAAATAATTATCTTAATCGTTTAACTATCAAGCATTTATACTCCGTTTTTCATCTGAAAACTAGCAACAAGTGTGTGTGTGTGTGTGTGTGTTCTTAATCTTTTCTTTTACAATTTGTAAGATTATCAATAAACATAATATTCTTTTTTACTTTTATGTGAGATGATTTAACATCGTTATTTTTATATCTTTATGCTAAAAAATAAATGCATTGTATTAATAGCAAGATACTTAAATTTGTGTATTATAATAGAATGATACTGCAAATAATTTTTAATCAAAATCTACTAAATTTTTTGCAATAATCAAATGCTTAACTCAGTAACTTTCTACAACTTTTTTCATATTTTATGCTTAACCGTTTGCAGTTTATTTGAAATCTTGTGCAGGATCTATTCTCTTTTCAGGTAGTTGCCTGACCCACATTAGACCTTTTCATGCTACAGACAAAAGAATGGAATTTTTCTAGATGTTAACCATATGCTTAGCTTCTACAGAAATTTTCCTTTATATTTCAAAGTTTCACATGTATTTTAGAATAAATTTTAATTGAAATACTAAATTTTTTGTAATAATCAAATGCTTGACTCAGTAACTTTCTACAACTTTTTTCATATTTTATGCTTAACCGTTTGCAGTTTATTGGAAATCTTGTGCAGGGTCTATTCTCTTTTCAGGTAGTTGCCTGACTCATATTAGACCTTTTCATCCTACAGACAAAAAAATGGAATTTTTCTAGATGTTAACCATATTGCTTAGCTTCTACAGAAATTTTTCTTTATATTTCAAAGTTCCACATGTATTTTAGTAATAAATTTTAATTGAAATACTAAATTTTTTTGCATCTAAAGCAATTTTTTCAACATAAATTAACAGTTATAAAATAAATACAACGATATGAGAAACAATCTAGGAGCTAAGACTAGATATTATATCTTAATATTAGTCTTAGCTCTTGGACCATTTCTCATATCATTAAATTTTTTAATTGTGAGTTTTTTATAATTTATTATTATTAAGTAAATATTCTAAATAATTACAATATATATTTTTTTCTAATAACTTAACAAATGTTCATCTTATATTTGGAAATTACTGCATTGCTAGAAAAATGCATTCCTCGAAAAAAAAGTAAGATTTTTCTACCTGAAGCATTTGCTCAATACCCAAAATGCCTTTTCTATTACTCTTCCTTTTTTTAGGACTTTAGGTAGTAAAAATAGTTGTAATCTTGTTTGAATATCACTGCTTAGACCTTTTTGGGTCTATATAGACTTGAATAGACTTTTTTTATCTGGAAAAGCTAAAAGGACAGAAATTTTTTTAAAACTGAAAGTCAGGCATATGGGTAACACATTAGGACTAGACTAGAATATAAGAGAGAAATAGAATTCCATTCAACGAGGGTTATCCAAGTAGGCAAGATTCACCGAAAAGTGCAAATCGGCTGCAGGCCTAATAAGATATTCTATATAACCTTCGTTGGATATGCCTGACTTTCAGTTTAAAAAAAATTTCTGTTCTTTTAGCTTTTCCAGATAAAAAAAGGCTATTCAAGTCTATATAGACCCAAAAAGGTCAAAGCTATGATATTCAAACAAGATTTACAACTATTTTTACTACCTAAAGTCCTAAAAAAAGGAAGAGTAAAAAAGGGTAGAAAAGGCATTTTGGGTATTGAGCAAATGCTTCAGGTAGAAAAATCTTACTTTTTTTTTCGAGGAATGCATTTTTCTAGCAATGCAGTAATTTCCAAGTATAAGATGAACATTTGTTAAATTATTAGAAAAAAATATATATTGTAATTATTTAGAATATTTACTTAATAATAATAAATTATAAAAAACTCACAATTAAAAAATTTAATGATATGAGAAATGGTCCAAAAGCTAACACTAATATTAAGATATAATATCTAGTCTTAGCTCCTAGATTGTTTCTCATATCGTTGTATTTATTTATAACTGTTAATTTATGTTGAAAAAATTGCTTTAGATGCAAAAAATTTAGTATTTTAATTAAAATTTATTCTAAAATACATGTGGAACTTTGAAATATAAAGGAAAATTTCTGTAGAAGCTAAGCATATGGTTAACATCTGGAAAAATTCCATTCTTTTGTCTGTAGCATGAAAAGGTCTACTGTTACCCTTTTGTTTTATAGCATCTAGGCTGCTCATGGTATTATAATTATTATTATGTTATGTACTTTAATTTTATAACATAATAATAATAATAATAATAATAATAATAATAATAATAATAATTCTGTAAACAATGAACGCGGGGCAATGTGTCCCAAAGCTTCATACGATTTACAGCTAATATCGTCCCTGAACACTGAGTGTCTTACGTCTTCGCGAGCAGCCTACATGCTATGAAACAAAAGGAATGGGAATGACTGAAAAGTGGGAAATAATGCATAATAAAATAATATTGGAAATTTTTTCGTATATTTTGAAATTTATTTTATAGCAATCAATAATCAATGTATATTTTATTTTCTGTGTTTGAAAAGCGCATTAAACAATAATGTTAAAGATTTTTATAACATTTAAAGTAGCTATTTTATAACTAAGTAGTCATGATTTTGTATAATTTTAATAATTATTTATTTTTGTGCAGGTCATGACGATCGTGGTGGTAGGAGTGGTGGATCTCATCTTGGGAGCACCAAGCCTCGTGTATCGTTCAAGACGCATAGGATTAATAGGGAGATACCGCGTAACTTAGCTTTAGCGAGTTTAGACGAAGACATTCCGATGACTGGCAATTCCAACAATAATACGCGGCAAGTAATAGTTAGAGAAAGGGATAGGAGTGATAAGAATTGGCAAAGAAGAATTTCACAAGGAAGGAATAGTCCATTACCGAATAGGAATTTTGGGAAGGGAGGCCCACCTGGTGGTTCAAGATTGCGGCAGTTTCCGCTGGGAGAATGTAGTTGGTACAGAGTCTATGTAAGTATTTTATTAAACCATGTAAATGTAATGTATGAAGAAGTAATTGACACTTTGCGGTCGAGGTTTGCAGCAGGCAAACTCATTGTCAACTGCGTGGACAAATAGAAACACTTTTTAAAAAACTATTGTAATTTAAAAAATTTTAAATTTCTACGTGTTAAAGGAAAAACCACGCGTTCCGTCGGCAAAGTGTTGAGATCATTTTTTGTCCATGAAAGAGTTTAAAACAAATTTCTACTACTGTCTTATATATTACAGATACCGTATGGCCACAAGTATGAGAAGGATTATGTTTTGAGAACTCTCTTGAATTATATGGCACCTGATGTCTTCGTTCCAATAATGGTAAATAATCTCTTGTGTTCTTTTTATCTAAAAATTGTTATATCTTAGACATAATTAACATGATGTAACACACTAAACATCAGAATATTTTTAACTGCATTTGATAATAGATACACACATTATAACATTATAATAAATAAAATTCAAATTAAAGATATAAATATTTTTATGATAAAATATGGAAATTTATTTACAGTATAAGGTCATGGAGAATGAAGCTAGTTTTTACATCGACGATTACAAGGTGGCAAACACATTGCAAAATTGTGATCGGAAGATTACTATGACCGATGGATTCAAACTGCAAATCAGGGTGAAGCCGTCGAGTCCAAGCTTCATAAATGACATCGATGAGAAATTGAAGGAACGATTGAAGCAAGCCATGTCTAAGAGATATGTCCAGGAGACGAATGCCTTGGACTTAAGCAAATTTCATCAAGATTCAGGTGAGAATAATAAAATAATTGCAAAATTGTGTGTGTGGGTGGAGGGGGGGGGAGAATTAAAATTTACATTTATTTATTTATCTTGCAGATCTTGTTGACGAGTATTTCTATGCATTGTTCCGCACTCCATTGTTAATGGTAGTGTTAGATATTGTGGTCCAGCATATTCCCGATTTAGAAGCATTGAATTTAGAAGGCAATAAGTTAAATAATATCGACAAGCTTAATGTTCTAAGCAAGAAATTCCCAAAATTGAAGATTTTGTACATTGGTGATAATAAGGTGAGTGATTAAATATGAAAATAAGTGTCATTTGTTTATTTATATTTAATTTTAATGTCTTTTATTATTTTAATATTTGATATCTACATAGAATCTAAATAATCGCATTTTATTTGAATTCTAGATAACGAATATTCATCAATTAGACGTTATTAAAGATCTGAAGTTAGATGAGCTTAGATTAACCGGAAATCCCGTTTGCAACAAGTATAAATCTCGGCAAAGTGATTATATAAGGTAATGTATTGTTCTATCAAATTTCTCTTTCGAGAAATATTGAAATATATGAATTTTTGTATTGAAATATTGAAAATAATTCAATACTGTTTAGAAAGGATATCGTGAAAACAAGTATGATATTCAAATATTTTTGTATTGCTCAAAGAATTTTCATCTTTCAATAAAGTAAATATCTCAGTGGCTGAACTTATTTTATATTGGACAATTTAGATTAATTTTCAATGATTTTATTAAAAATAACAAATTTTTTACGAGCAATTTTTTTTACAGTGCTGAAAAGAAATATTTTTAATTAATTATAAAAATAATTTTATGAATTTTTTGCAAATATTTAATTGAGTATCAGTTCTTAATTATAATTTGGATTGTACTTTTGTTAAGTAAACTAATCTTTATTATGAAAAGATAAAAAAAATATTATTTGATAGAAAAAATTATGTCTTTAATAATTAATTTATAAATGTTTAGCCACTGGAACGTTTACCTCTTACAAGGAAGCAGGCACGAGTGTTCTTCCGATTTTGTAGCTAAAAATCAGAAACTCAGACATTTTTCTTATGCTTGTCACAAAACTCACAAAACATATACGCTTTCTCACATGTTTATTTAGGGGTTAAACCGTTATAAGCTACATAGCATATTTGATTTTGAAAAAATGATTGTATCATCAAAACTATAAAATATATGATAAATGTTTTGGGTAAAAGTTTTATAATTGCAATAAGTTAATGAATTTTATAATCGTGCATTTAAATTTTCCAAAAATATATTTTTTAATATATCTTTATTTTTTGTTATTATTTTTATAAATTTCAAAATTTTTGTCAATAAAAATTTAACATAGTTTTTTTTTTTACACTGAATTCATCCATATATATAATAATGTTATTTTTCCAAATTTTAAAATCGTAGGGAGACACTTGTGTGTCCGTTTCCTTGCAAGTTTGCTTTAAATAACTTAAATTGCAAATATTAAATTACAAGTTTGTAAAAATTAACCCGTGCATTATTTTTCCAATGTAATTTCTAGTCTTGCACGGAATTTATTCTAAATTACATCAAATAGAAGATTATTTCTTAATAATTTCAGAGTAATAATTTAGATAATTTATCTAAAATATTTAGATCAAACTGTATGCATTTTTTTTCCTGTTTTATAATACCTGATAACAACATGTTTCTGTTATTGAACTATTAACACGGATCATCGGATTTTCTTTGTTCACCGCAGCGACGTCCGAAAACGATTCCCGAAGTTGTTACGTCTGGTGAATATTTTATATTTTATTTTACATATATATAACATATATATACAAGAAAACAAAAAATATATATATATATATACAAAATTAAATTTTCTTGTACGCATATATGTGACTAAAATTTTTTTGTTACGTTTAAAGGACGGCATGGAGTTACCACGACCGATTGTATTCGATGTTGTCGATGAAGCGGCCAAGGTACCACCATCCCAAAGGATGTTCGTCGCCGATGCAAAAGCACAGGAAATAGCAAGTCAATTCTTACAACAGTATTTCGCGATATTTGATAGAGAGAATCGGCAACCTCTACTTGATGCATACAATGAACACGCGTGCTTTAGTATGACGATAACTGCCAGCCATGTTAGCAAGTAAGTATTCCAGCAACGAAATAAACCAAACAAGTACTATTTACACTATTTTATCAATATTATGTTCTCCTTATCTATCATCTTATATCAAGTAACTTGACACACTGAAATTTCTTTACAGGTTAAATGGTTATCTTATCGAGAGTAGGAATTTGTTTAGAATAAATGACACAATCAGAAGACAAAAATTATTGAAACAAGGCAAATTGCCCATTGTTTCATTCATTTCGCAAATGCCACAGACAAGGCATTTCGTAGATACTTTCACGATGGACATAGCTCTTGCTATGGTAAGTTGTCATCATGAATGATTCAAGTCGTATCATTAAGTTGCCAAATATATTAAGAAATATGTTAATTTTGCTTCATGCGAAATAAAAATGGATTTATGTCACGATATATTTTTTGTTTGTTTACAGCAAGCAATGATGTTTATCACGATTACGGGCTACTTCCAAGAGATTAATACTAAGGAGCAGCCTATCCGCCACTTCAACCGGACATTTGTAATTGTGCCGGAAGGAAGTGGATATTGTATTTGTAACGAACAATTGCATATTAGTCAACCGTCTGAGACGCAACTGAAGCAACTGCATCAGCAACTGAACAGTACTCAGCTTCCTCAGACTCAATCACAAGCGCCGGCGTTATTAGAGCAACAGTTACCTACGGAAACGGCAAAGCCTATGGCTTCGGAATTGAATGAAAATATCAAACAGCAAATGACCGTCACACTTAGTCAGCAAACGAACATGAATCTAGAATGGAGCTTGAAGTGCTTGCAAGAGACGAACTGGAATTACGACAACGCGCTCTCCGCCTTTCAAGAATTCTTCAAACGAGGTCAGATACCGCCGGAGGCATTTGCGAAATAAATACGTAAGTGGCTAAGGCAACTCGTTTCTGTGATAATATCATGTAAAGTCAGAGAGCGTAAATACTGTAAGATAATTTCAAATCTTGATTCATGTTCTTTCGCTTATTTAGCGTACATATACTTTTTCATTATATTTAATGTCATAACCTAAACGGAAAATTATCTTTTGCCGATATTATATCATTGGCAACAAATTATGATTATTCTTAGGGAGTGGGCGGGGGGAGGGGGGAGGGGAAAAACAAAGAAAAATACAAAAATATATGCATATTCATTTTTTTAGATAGATCAGGCTTAAGTATTCCAGTTAAGGATATTGTAATGTCAGGAATCAGTCTTGTTCAAATTTACATCACATAATTATTATAAAATGTAAATTTTTTAAGACGTGTAAGGATGAAACACAGTTAATCTACTTGACATAAAGTTGTGTGATTAGAAAACTGTTACTGAAAATGTACTTAAAAAATTTTATACATTTTATGTGCCATTGATAAATGATTGATAATGTTCTATAAAAAACAAAGATTATAAGTGTATAATATTGAACAAAGTCTGATTTTGACATATTGATTTGGAAAAGGAGTATATATATATATATATATATATATAGTAGAGAGAGAGAGAGAGAGA